ATGCAACCGCGCCACCAGATTCTAATGGCGTTGGGGCGGTGACCGCTGGAGATAGTGACGGAGACCCGGCACCGGACGCTTCCGGCTGCATTGCGACTGCATTAGTATTCTTTCCTGGGTCTGGGTACCCTGGGAAAGTTTCACCCGCCGCCCCAGATTCCGACGGCATTGATGCAGCAGGCTCCAGCGACAATGAAGGTGCCCGAGCATTGCTCATATCTGGTAGCATTGCACCTGTCTCAGTCGAGTTTTCCTTCACTGGGTACCTTGGAAATGGTCCAGCCGCTCCCCCAGATTTCGCCGGCACTGCCGCAGAGGGCTCCGGCGACAATGAAGGTGTCTCAGCATTGCGCATTCCAGGTGGCACTGCACCTGTCTTAGTCGTGCTCTCCTCCCCTGGGTACCCTGGGAACGGTGCAATTGCCACCCCAGATTCTGATGGCATTGGTATAGCGACTTCTGGAGATAGCGAAGGAGGTTCGGCATTGGTTCCTTCCGGTTGCATTGCAACTGCGTTAGCGTTCTTTCCTGGGTCCAGATGCCCTGGGAATGGCGCATCCGCACCCGTCCCAGTCGCGTTCTTCTTTGCTGGGTACCCTGGGAATCGTGCAGCCGGCCCCCCAAATTTCGACGGCATTGTTGCAGAGGGCTCCGGCAACAATGACGGTGCCTCGGCGTTGCGCATTTCTGGCAGCATTGCACCGTTGTCATTCGCCTTCTGTTCCGCTGGGTACCCTGGGAATGGTGCAACAGTTCCCCCAGATTCTGAAGGCATTGGTGCAGCGACTTCGACCGGCAGGGGAAGTTGCTCAGGGCCGGTTCCTGCCATTGGCATCGCAACTGGTTGAACGCCATCGTCATTGTCATTGTACATTGGGAGGGCAGCTGAAAGATCAGATCCCGTTGAATTTTCTGGGACCATGATATTTGCAAGTTCTGAATTTGGCGCTGCTGTGCTGGGCGGCAATTCAACCCCTTCCAGCGACTTCTCATCATTTGAAGCTTCTGTGGCGTCCGGAGTGGATGCAGATGGCCTGTTCATGGGAGGGTCGATGAGCTCGCTTGGGAAACCTCCCTCAGCACCTGCTCCATGTGCCATTTCGGACATCGGGGTAGCCACGGTGGGCTCCTGTGAGGCATCTTCTGGCCCCAATGGAGGGGCCGCGCCTTCCGAATCTGTAGGTGCAGCCGCAGGGGCATTTTCCGGAGGTCCGTTGGGGCCTTCGTCTAATGGCCCTGTGCCTGCAGGCAACGGAGTCATCTCGGCCAATGGTGAAGTTGCCCCCTGTCCGGGACCCTCGTTGTCTGCCACTGAAAACCAAGGGGCAACTGTGAGAGGAAGGTATTCTGGACCGCGTGCAGTCTCCTGCCCTGCAAAGGCGGCCCGCCCTCCTTCAGTCGAATCGATCCCCGGCGCTTCTGTTGGGAAGGGACTCAATGGAGGCTCAGCGTATTCGGGAAGCACTTCGGCTGTGCAATGATCGCTTGAGATACCTTCCAGCCGAGGGCCATCAGCAGCCCTCCCCTTTCCCGTCAAAATTTGGGCCGCAACGGTGCACGGCGGCCTGTCGTCTGCAGACGCCCAGGACAGTATTATCCGTCCGTCGAAGAACAAGCTCGCCTGAACTTCCATGTTGTGGGGGCTGAGGGACACCTGGCTTTCCTCGTCACTGTCGGGAAAGACGTACAGGAACACTGGAGGGCCTGGTGGTCCCGGGGGCCCTGCCGGACCAGGGGGCCCTGGGGGGCCAACAGGAGCAGGCGGCCGGCTGCAGGAAAAAAACACCTTTCACTACCAGTTCCCATATGCTGCAATCGCGGACGAACTGGCACACACTCCCACGATTGCTGGTGGCATTTTGCTGGCCACAGGAAACCACGGTGCTCGATGTGTGCATGGTTAAACCCGACTGGCCCGTAGAACACTGCTGCTCCTGATGGACATGCGCACACTTCTGGGGACGTACCCCAGCACACTGGGGTTGCCGCGATGCAGGTGATATGACATGCATGTCAAACGCTTCGTCAACAGAACGGCTCAGGGACTCACCAAATCGCACAAAACATTAGCCGAAGTAGTATGCTTCACGCTAGATTGAAATATCCTTCATTTGCCATCAAGACCAATGACATAGAATCTGGCTTCCATGTGCTGAATGCAAAGCAATGCAAAAACATGGCATGGCACGATGGGTTGCCAGATAGTTAAAAATGCAAGACTGTGCCCATGTGCCTCCAAAAATTTTCAAAAGGAGAAAAAATTGGAGGAAAACGGGGCACAACAGGGACCCGCCATTAGCACACGACCACAGAAACACGATCAGGCCGCTGCAGCATTTCATTAACATCTACCTGAGCATACATGCTCATGAGCACGGAGGACAGTGTGTGTGGGTACGTACCTTGGCCAGGGAGGCCATTGCGGTACAGGAGGTGATGGAGGAGGGGGAGGGGATGCCACACGTTGTGCTCCACAGGTGCGCCAGGGGATCTCCCACTTGACCTCCAGCCGGTCCGAAAGCATGGCGTACCCCATCTGAAAACAGGGCATATCATGGGGCTGATTCAGTCACGGTGCATGAGATCAAGTTGCACAACTTCCAGCGCCATTTGCATTCTTAGCACATGAACTAGTTGGCTTATTCAGCGATGCGCTCGAGTATCTATGCCACATGTATCCTACAGCTGGCAACATCGGGGACTCGTTCACCCCCTTTTGGCGCCTGAGCTGGAACATTCGACTGAATGAACGATGTCAAAATATTTGCATTCAAGCATTGACGCTGCCACTCACATTGTCTGCTGGAAAGAGAAGTTCGGAGTAGTTTGAACAAAAGGCGTTTATCAGTGGCGGCGATCCCTCTGTTGCAAGGAGGCAGCTGTCGGATCCGAGAGACCTAGGATCGTCCTCATCGAAGAATATGTACCCATTCTTGTGAGCAAAAACTCGAGAGTAGTTCCTTCCAAAGAAAGGGAAGGTATTGTGCCCTGAGGAAATGCGGACATTTTCATAAGTCCCATTCTGCAGCAAAGAAGCCAAGGTAGCAAACTACGCTTCGAAACACAGGGGTAAAGATTGTTGGCTAATTGTTTTTGGCCACTTAAAAGCCAGATTTCAGTGGCGGCTAGAATAACCAACATAAGCGACACAATTTACAGCATTGTCTATTGCGTCACTGTCTGCAGCACCGGTCCAACAGAAGACATGGGCGCCCTCACCTTGCAAGATGATAGCAGCATAATCCCTTTCGGCTTCAGCCTCAAGAGCGAACAGATCGCCACTTTGGCGCACATCTGGGATTGTGCAAGTGGAGTATTCCACCCCTGTAGCCTCTCCGTCGCTCAGTGGAGTAAAAGCAACAGAAGAATTGACAAAAGGAAATGAACCCGCAGTGAAGGTGCCCCCCAGAGCCACCAACGAAGGGTTTGCCTCTACTGAGAGCCCCTTTGGCTCAGGTTTCCCCTGGCTGGATCCAGCGTCAATGTCGCCTAATGACGGGGCTGGGACCACTTCGAAAGTCTCCTCAGAAAATTCCACACCGGTGTCCGCATTCGAAATGTCTCCAGACACATAGGCCGGGCTTTCTGCATTGAATATTGCCTCATCGAATGACACTGGAGAGCCAGAAAAAATTCCAAACGCCGCCTGGCATGGTGCCTCAGGAGCATGGTTGATATACGATATCAACAAGCTCCCATCATAGAACAGCTGCAGCTGAACCTTCATTTCGTTTCTGACCCACGGACAGCACACAAGGGTCACAGGTCAAACAGAGCTTCTCATCTATCATTTTTAGCTACCAGGGATTGTCATAATACATTTGAAATATGGCGAGCCAACAGCAGGAAGTCTGCAAGTTACCTTTTCGATATGTTTCCACAATCCAAGAGACATGTTTCCCACGCTTGATATGCTGATATGTCAAGAATGCAGTGCGCAACTTTGCCTTTGCGTTGCCTCACACCACCAACAAAGGACTTCACACAGGTCGCCAGGTGCGATGCCGATTTCCACCGCAGTGGCCAGGGTGATCCTAATCGTCCAGGGCGAACGTACAGGTTCTGCTCATGAAACGAGAAATGGATGACCTCTCAATCCGTTGACAGCGGATCTCGGATTCGAAGACAAGGAGCCCAGTGGGCTTGTTGTCCCAAATTTAGACCAGATGCCATCACTCTATGCTTCCAGTACCTTCCTTGAGTGTCAGGTTCATTTCCCCCGGAGCAAGGGGTCCACGGCAGATTCCATTCGACCATTGCGCTGCTTGTGTGCCTCTCCAATTTGACCTTTACATCATGAACAGATGTTGCTCTCGATTCACGTGCACCACATTCAACTATTACTTGCCAATATTGTCCATACACTATGTGGCATGTACGATTACATACCGTAGTATATGAACCCTTACGCAATTCCAAATTTCAGCATCACTATTTTTGCTCCGCAAATTTTCGACAAGCCGCTATTTAAGGGGCTCTGCATCATAGTCCCAGCCAGAATGGCAATTCCTCTGAGTTCGCATGGCCTCAAAAGCTGGGTTTCCCCCACAATGACTCACACATCTGGGCCCACTGGACTCCATGAGCAGTCCAGAGACCCTTGGGTTGTGGTTGGGGCTGCGCCAAATTTTCTTGACACTGTTACATTTTACTACTGCTCCGTGTAGAAAGGCCGATGTTGCAATACAATGCGGAAGGGTATAACATACTACGCCATGTGGAACTGCAATCGCACGGTGCCATGCCAGCACGCCACATTTTGCGCATCAGCCCCTGATTAGGGGATGTGACAGGCTGGCACGGCCACCCATGAGGTGATGTGATATCTGGCTGTGTACTCATGCAGTCCCTACCCTTGCTAAAGTAAACGCAGGTTAGAACATTGGCGCACATTCCAACCTGCGATTGCATGCCAGGGGTCCCATTAATACAGTCACCATGCGATCGCAGGCTGGAATATAATAACATTATTCTTTTATCGTATGGATATTATTTGGTATTCTGTTCGTTGTGTTTGAGACACAAGGCAAACTCGTGCAATGGGGAATTGCTGCGCAGCTCCTGGACGCTGCTTCATTGCGAGTTAAAGCCACGTACATTCACAGACAGCAGCAAGTGGTGCAAATCAGAAAGATCACTGCCCTTTGCCCGCCTCAAAGCAAGGTGATCGGGATTTGTGTGTGAAATTGAAGACCGTGTGAACCACTGAAAACAGAGCTTTGAGCCATTCTTGGAACGCTGGCATTACTTTAAGCTTTTCAAGCACAACTGATTTGCATGGCATATTTGCAAAATGACATAACAGTGGTCACAAGTTTTGGATACTATGGTTACATACCCAGCTCTCGGCCTCCAATCGTCACAAGCCTATTGACAACTTGGCAACAGGGCTGCTTGGAAGTAGACTATTTTCAGGGATTCACTCATGCACCATGAATATGGAACCATTCCACTATAAGCACCGTAGTAATACTTCACTAACTATGTTCCATTGCGGGGGCAAATGCTTTGGAGGAGACCAGTTCTTTTGCTGAAGAACATATCTGAAAGCTACTCCACACAAAGGTTGCTTGCAAATTTGCATCAGAGGATGGCATGTCACATGTGTATTGCATTTCTTACAGCCACAGAGATGATAAACCTATGTATTGAACACATGTGGTCCACCTTTCCCATCGATGAATACCATTGCTGTTAGCAGCCACAATAGCTGTTCGTCATCGACATTACTCGATGTTTGGCTTCGAATTGTGTGTGCAGGTTCCAGCTTTTCTGCAGTCAAAGAGGAGTGATTCTCTTCATGGAAAAGCAGATAACCTAGGTAGGAAAGTTTGTGAGACACTTCAATTTTGCCTGTCGATCGCTACCCCGACTGCAATCATGGGCATACTAAGCAGACAGAAAATCAACAAAATGTATTCTGACAAGGGAGGCCACTCACTGTTTTGGACACATCTGTCGAGTTTGTGCAGAAGGCGCTGATCATCTTTGGCATGCCCTGAGAAGGAAACTGCAGAGCCGCCTCAAAGCAGGCCGCCGGTGTGTCGAACAGCAGGTCTTGCTCCTGGAAGACAATGTAACCACTCCTGTGGATGTAGATTTCCGAATACAGAGACCCAAAAAAAGGTGTACCCTCCTCAGCCCCTGGAGTATAGCACACATCGTCTCAGTGGCGAGTTCAGGTGCAATACTGTGAAATACGTGCCCAGTTGCGCTATGGTTTGATGTTGAGCAGAGCATGACAAACTCTGCTGCTAAACACCACATCTGTAGTTGGGCTCTGGGCCCACAAAATCCAGCATCGGAGCTTCAATCATCTATTGCTTCGACTCCCTCTTCCTGAGTATGAGAATTACTGCTTGTGATAATCATTTCCATCACCAACACTGCAATGGGAATAAGTGCTATACGCTGACAATGCAGCCAACGGCCAACCTCCTTGCCGAATAGTGGTGATGAATGCACAATAAGAGTACCATATTGAATCCAGACGTGTGCGAGACACTGTTCAGGAATGCAACTCCAGAGACCTGGCAGCCAGACCCGCATTTGACTGATTGTGCAACAGGCCATTCTGGCGTCTGACTCGATTCAGGCAGTTGTCTGAGTCCGAATTGGCGCTGCACGCCTCCAGGCGAGCAAAGCGAGACCAATTTTGCAAAGTACCGCAACTTTGAACGCAAGGACAGCAGTACAAAGTGAAGAAACATCGGAAATTCTGTGAATTTCGCGAATATTCGGGATATTTGCCCTTGTCCAGCCCGACGGCCGGTTCGCGGAATCGGTTCGCCCGCTGGTTCCGGCCTGCGACGTGCCTTGCACGGCTGGTGATATGGCGCGTCTGCGTTAGACAGTGCGGCGCAGCATGGCGAGCTGGCACCCCAAACCGCTGAAGGCTCTCTAAAGTGAGGTGCACATTTGGAGGACCCACGGCCAAACCGGCCCCCCTGTGAGCCCAACATTCGGCCAAATGTCCCCAACAACCCAACCCAACAACAGCCCCCACGCCTTTCAGGCCAGGGTGACTGCCGGGCTCTCCCGTCGCCGCCACTTCGGCCACCCACCCTCCAGGCTCAGGCGCACGTAGTCGCCCCCGACGCCCAGGGGGCTCAGCGCCTTCTCCACCGGTGCGTCCAGCACGCTGTAGACGTACGACGTCTTCCTGTCTCCCTGGAAGGGCCTGAAGAAGACGGTCCTGTTCGACATGTCGAAGTCGCCGTCGGAGTGCACGCTGAAGATGGACCCGTCCGGCTGGACGCCGCCCCCTTTGCCACCGGCGCCCTGAGGGGGGCAGCCGCGTGCGGGTCAGTGGCACTGGGATCCACAAACGGCAACAGGGCGGCGGAAGAGCTGTGCGGCAGCGCGGGCGGCGAGCCTTGCCTGCAGTAGGGTCGCCAGTAGGCCCCAGACGATCGCCAGATCGCGCAGCCGCATGTTCGATCCGCGAGGGCTCTGCGTGGGCTGGGCGCCGATCATCAGTTCGCCCCGTCGCGGGTGTGAGAAAACAGGTCGCCGGCGACGCCGCTCACGCCGGGGATCTTGGGGCCGCTCGCCGGTATCTGACCGGGGGGGGCTTGTGGCGGAATGGGGAACAACTGCCGCGCAGGGCGGAGGCGCAAGCCTGCGTGCTCCGCTGGAACCCGCCACAGGGGGGTGGGGAACCGCGCAAGAGCCCCACGGAAAGCATCCCTTGTGACGTTCTGCGCTGCGGCCTAGCCCGTCGGCCATTAGGAATAGCAGCCGGAGTGGGATGCAACTGTTCAGACTGTCAGTCGCCTGTGATTCGGTGCGGATGCTGCCGGCCCAACGGAGATCTCAAAATTGAACTCAAGCGCAAAGACCAATTCAGATGTGACGACGATGTTTCTTGAATGCGCCCACACAGCACGGTTTGCCACAAAGACATCGGGGTGCTCCGCAGCTGGGCTCCGTCGTCATGGCGACAGGGCGAGCGAGCGCCATTCATGATCACCGTTGGGGGGGTGAGGCCGCAGCTTTGAGAACACTGAAAACCCCTGCAAAGGCCTTTTACTGTGGGTTGAAGCAAGCAGAATGCCTGTTGATGAGCCATGACAAATGCGGAAACCCGCAATCCCACAAATGAGCAGCTATCAAAGATACACAGGTCCAGTTGCAGGACCAGATGACTATGCTAGCTTTGGCGACGTCCAGGAATGGCTGGGAGATGTCTTCACGTCCTGTCTGGTTTCTTACTGGGACACACTTCTTCACACCCCGTTGTTTCTCTCAAAGACACAATGTTCGAACACGATGGACTGCGGAGGTAGGGAACCAGGTGCATGGTGCACTGTGTCCTTGTGGCCTATGCATGCAAGCCCTGCTGATGGTAGCAACAACAGCACACGTGCACTTGCAGTGTCTCATCCACGTTTCCCAGATCTGGTTAATATTCCTTGGCTCACCTATTCTAGAATGGAGAGGTTGACATTAGGGATGGTACCCGGGTTCCGGAACTTGGGTACCCGGGTGTACCCGGGTAACCCGGGTACACGCAATACAATAGGGGTCCCTATATAGCGCCCCCCTAATAGCGCCCCCGGCCCCCAATAGCGCCCCTTTTCTGGCTTGTCACCAGTTCTGTAGTACTTTATTCAACTTCACTGCACAATGGGACCTCAAGCTACTCTTGCGGATAACCAACTACACCCAAGAGAGGTGTCCGGTGAACGGATGGAAGAGTGGCCGTCTGTTTTCGCGAACTTGGCATATTGCAGACGGCCGGACGGCAGGTCCGGTGCGTCCGCTGTGGGGCCCGGGCCCAAGGCCTCCCCGGGAAGCCAAGGGAGGTGTGTGTTCCATTGCAGATCTCCATCTATGCACAGTGAAGTGGGCACTGCCCGCCTGGGCTCCTTGCAGCCAACAAAATGGAGGGATAGGGAGGGGTGCCCAACGCCGTGGCTTCCATTCTTTCTCTCTCACCATCATCATACAAATCTATCTCCATATCCTTGCCGGAATCCTCACTGCTGCTAGAAGTTTTGTTTTCCATGAAACCCGGGTTGCAGGAGTTTCCATCATTGTAGTCCATTCTAACGGTCGTCCCCAGAAATAATGCAGTAAAGTTACCCTCAAACAGGCAGCTAAACCATATCAACAGCCTCAGCACCACAGCAGCTGAGGGTGCACTCAACGAACAAGCTTTGTTCCTCGAGCGAACCGGTTCTTCACGAAGAATTGTTTGGCATGCCGACACGACCAACAAAACAACGGCGACAACAAAGGAAACTTCAAAAGGGTAGCAACACCCCCACTACCAGCCAACCATGCAAGTATGCTTGTGGAAACTCTCGCAGCTACTGCTCAAAGTGCCCCAACTAGTCGCAACAGTTGACAAAGTCAAAACGGAGGTCAGGTCCACGGGTCAAAGCTGCCTTGTCCACAACACGTCAGTGTATGACACAGGGAATGCTTCTCTCCGCCTCAACAAGGTTGTACAAAGACGAGGCTTGGTGTGTTTTGGTCATCAACTAGACCGCGCTAGAGGTGCTGGTCTTGAAGGGTGAGGAAGCGCCTTAAAAACAAGGCCCAGACTGGCCGCGACCTTCAAGAAGGTTGAGCGCTATTGCGCTCAGGCCGTGGCTAACATTGCGCGCACGGTAGAGGTGGCCACTCAAAGGTGCCATCCGGTCCGTTAAATCCGGTTCGTTAATTTTTATCAGCTGTCCGTTAAATTTCGTTAAAGAAAAAGGGAGAAAAATTCAGAAAAAATGAAAAAAATTCAAAAAAATCAAAAAAAAAACCCAAAAAATCACAACAACTGCGGCTAGTTGAAACTCTAGTATGCATAGGTTGAAATAAAATACAAACATACTCTCTAATACCGAATTCCATAAACTATAAGCATGACTAAAACCCAAAAATCCCCAAAAAATCCAAAAATCCGCTAATTTTTGGTTAATTTTTGTTTTTTTCGTTATTTTCCGTTAATTAACGGAAAATTAACGGAAATTAACCTCTGTCCGCTATTAACGGATCCGAGTGGCCACCTCTAGCGCACGGTCAGGGGGGCCAGGCAGCCAAACTGAGCACCTAGTCTGCCGTGCAAAGGACACACAAACCCCATGCAATTGTTCTTATAGCTACCAGGCCGAGTGCAACAATAGAGAGTTCCCCTTCGCGCTGTCCGCGCCCCTTTGGCAAAAATATCCCCATTCCAAATAGATGCGCTTTTGATACCCTTAATCTTTCTGCCACGCCCATTGCTTCACCACAACTCAACCCAGGACGCCCCACTGCCCATAATCAGCCACCACGTATGCCCCAAGGGCCACATTCCCAGCAAGCAACCACATTTCCCATGGTCAGCAACCACATTATTCCCCACGGGGCATATTTCCATCAAACACACATATGGCGCCTCGACACGCCCCTTCTGGATCCACGTGGCCATGATCCACGGTAGACCACCAGGCGGGCAACTCCTAAACAAATGCATGTGTCCACTGGCAACCCGGGTGCTCCTCAGTACTCTAAGGAATATTTAGGGCATGTTTGACTCATGTGTCTCCATATGATGCGTTGCCACGTATTGGCCTTGTGCTCAGCATCTTTATAATATCTTAGTGAGCTCTTTGGGAGTATGATACAATTGTCATCATCTATCTTTATCATCAAAGTCATCTCCATGCGTTCTGAGTGCCTTGAGCTTGCGATGTGATGATTGTTACGAATAGGATGTGGGTGTGGGGTTCCTGCCCTCTTTGAGCCGCGGACCCGCCTCGCCGGGCACCTAGGTCCTTACAGGGCACCTAGGCGGGACCACCCCTCCTACTCCCGTATCCTAATATGGATAAAGGTTACATTGGGTGAGGAATAGTACGTGCCTTGGGCAGGGCGGCCCCCACACCAAGGGCCATTAGTAGGACGTCTCCCACATCAGGCTGGTGCGCGTAACATTCGTCCCCCTCAGGGAGAGGGGCGTCCTCGTCCCAGTATAAGTGAATACGGGAGCAGAAACATTGTATGTATGTTGGTGGAACTGGCTGTGCGATTTGCCACATGCCCAGCTAACAAAACACAACACACAAAACAATTTTGGATGAAGAGAAAGAGTGGTTGTTTTACATGACCGTCCCGGCCTTTACAACCCTCATTAAAACTCTTCCTCAGCCAAGTGGCTGGAAATATTTGACCTCCCGGCCTTTCATCGGCGACCACGATGCCGAGTACCACCAAAAGCCCACGCCGGTACTGATCGGCCCGGTGCAGCACCCCGCCGTCGCCCACGTCCGCGTGCACGCCCAGGCGCACGGGGAAATGGCACGTAGGGGTCGGCGGTCTCCAACCTCTCCCCGTTGAGGATTGCGACGGACATGGCGTTCATGTGTCCAAACTGCGACCTTGCACGGGGGGCAGTATACCCAGTGTTTTTCTGGGCCCAGCGCAAGAGAACCTGTCAAAAGCATAAGCACACATGAGCATGTTTCAGTATGTACATCCCATACTTCATGCAGTTTGCATTCGCATCACAGGTGTTCTGCCATTTTCAAATGCTTGAACCAATTCCTGTGCATTTGCAACTGACTTGCTGATTCCCAGCTGTTATGCTCATGTCCATATCCCAGCCATTTGACAAGGTACTCAACATAGTTTTTGCGTCTCCCACGCTTTTTAATCCTTTTATCAAGGATACGTTCAACTTCATACTCCAGTTCACCTTCGATCTCGATAGGTACTGGGGGTGGCTGTACTCTGCCACTTGCCTTATAAGGCTTAATCTTCGATACATGAAATACTGGATGTATCCTATGCATGTTTTCCGGGAGTTCTAGTCGATATGCGACAGAACCTATCCGGTCGAGGATGGTGAAGGGCCCAATCCACCTCGGTAATAGTTTTCGAGTCCCAGGGCGTTTGAGAGTAATATGCTGTGTCGAAAGGAGGACGTCATCTCCTTTACTAAACGACACCTCTCTTCGATGGCGGTCAGCATGCTTTGACTGCCTATCTCGTGCTTTCTCTAAGCACGCCCTGGCCTCTTTCAGCGCTGATTGGACACGGTGATCAAATCGTGTCACTGCTGGTAATCCCTCCACGAGGGGCGTACCAGACTGCCTCAAATAAGGCTGTTGCGCCCTTTCAATGGCCACTGCCAAGCCGCGGGCATTCGGATTGTCATAGCCCTTTAATGGCTTCCGAATTTGCACACCAAGAGCTAAGGGACTCTTTGGGTGCCTCCCGTAATTTAGATAGAACGGGGTTTCTTGGGTGGAACTGTTTTTCGAGTTGTTCATTGCAAACTCGGCCATGGCTAACAGTTCATCCCACGCGCCATGGTCAGAACGCGTATAACTGCGTAAGTAATCCTCCAGAACCCGATTCATGACTTCGGTCTGGCCATCCGTCTGTGGATGGTACGCAGTGCTCATGTTGAGCTGGATCTTCCACCTCTCGGCCAGGTACCGGTAAAACCT